TTGTTGTTGTTAGTTGCGAAGTCGTGTCCAACCTGTCGTGACCCCATAGACAACGTTCCTCCAGGCCTTCCTGTCCTCTACCATCCTCTGGAGTCCATTTAAGCTCACGCCGACTGCTTCAGTGACTCCATCCAGCTACCTCGTTCTCTGCTGTCCCCTTCTTCTTTTGCCCTCAATCGTTCCCAGCATTAGGCTCTTCTCCAGTGAGTCCTTCCTTCTCATTAGGTGGCCAAAGTATTTGAGTTTCATCTTCAGGATCTGGCCTTCTAAAGAGCAGTCAGGGTTGATCTCCTCTAGGACTGACCTGTTTGATAGCCTTGCAGTCCAAGGGACTCGCAGGAGTCTTCTCCAGCACCAGAGTTCAAAGGCCTCAGTTCTTTGGCGCTCAGCCTTCCTTATGGTCCAACTTTCACAGCCATACATTGCAACTGGGAAAACCGTAGCCTTGACTATACGCACTTTTGTTGGCAGGGTGATGTCTCTGCTTTTTAGTATGCGGTCTAGATTTGCCATAGCTTTCCTCCCCAGCTATTCCTGCACGGCATAGCTCATAGCTTCATTGAGCTACGCAAGCCCCTTCACCATGACAAGACAGTAACCCATGAAAGGCCTAGAACAGTTAGGGCTCCCTTATCTTCTTTGAGCAGACCAGGAAAAGGGAATTTCTTAATAGAAAAAAGCAAAAGGTTCCGAAAGAAACTAGGAACTACCTGGGTTAAGTCTGAGACAAAACCTTCAGGTCTTGGCGCAAATAGAGTATTCCACCCCCCACTTCTCTCTGCTAAGAAGAAAACTGCAAACAAAGGCCTTCCATTCTTCCTCTCAGCGGCTCTCCATCTGTCCTTCTTTTCTTCCTTCTAGACCCCAGGCGAAGGGAGGTGCAGACCGGTGTAACTGATCCATTTTTAAAACCTTCGTGCCAGGTGCATGCTTTCTCAGCCAGGTTTCAGCAAGGCTGCCCCTCGGCTGTTAACGCGCACGCACACATACACACAAAAGGCAAATGCACAAAGGTTGCCTCTTTTTTTTTTTTTTTTGGTCAGACCAGAATAGTAGAACAGCCAGGTCAGAAAGTTTAAACAAGAGAGTAGGAATAACTTTGGGAGGACTTTTTTAACCATTTCACAGACCTGGGAGGAAATTCTGTAGCTCATTAGAGACACCTAGTGGAGACGGGCCGCTCCAAGCCTTTTGCCAAAGGTGACTGGAGGCAGGACGCTTTGTGCTTCTCATTGATCTGGGATACCTACCCGTCGCACCCTGATTTCTTAGGATCACAATGGGTTGTTCCCTTATCTATGCAGCTATGGGGTAATCTATGTCTTGAATCAGAAGCTGAGTTCCCCATTTGTATCAGGGTGATTCCCCCACTCCCAACTCCAGAGAGAGAGAGAGAGATACCATGTTTCCCCGAAAATAAGACCCTGTCTTATATTTTTTTGAACCCCGAAATAAGCGCTTGGCCTTATTTTTGGGGAGGTCTTATTATTTTGGGGCACATGGAGGAAACCAGAGGAAATGGCGGGGACCAGCTGTGCATGCGTTTAAATATTTTCGGGGAGGGGCTTATTTTAGTGCATGCACTCAAAAGCCCGATTGGGCTTATTATCAGGGGATGTCTTATTTTAGGGGAAACTGGGTAGATAGAGGTAGATCGATAGATACCGGTAGATAGATAGATAGATAGATAGATAGATAGATAGATAGATAGATAGATAGATAGATAGATAGATACCGGTAAATAGATAGATGATTGATGATTGATAGATAGATGATAGATTCATAGATTGATAGATAGATGATAGATAGATAGATAGATAGATAGATAGATAGTTAGATGATAGATAGATGATAGATAGATAGATAGATAGATAGATAGATAGATAGATAGATGATAGATAGATAGATAGATAGTTAGATAGTTAGATGATAGATAGATAGATGATAGATAGATAGATAGATAGATAGATAGATAGATAGATAGATAGATAATTAGCAGGCAGGACAATTTCTATTTCTCCTATGCTTCTCCATGAGATATAAACTTCACCAGTTGAATGGTTGCCTTTACCAACCCCAGACAGCATCTCTGTGGGGCTGCAATGGCATCTTTGCCTTTCTCTCCCTTTCCTGGTCTTAATCCACCCAAGTGTAAATCCAAACAGAAGGACACAAGCCGCCTTGGTCAACAAAATTGCGCAGTGCATTTGCTAGAGACTAGATGGCTGACTTCCGAGCAGGCCTGCGAAGTTGCTGAAATCCTTGCAGGGGAGTACAGCCCTCGGGTTTTTTTGGGGGGAGGGGGAGAATAAATTTTATTCAGGATCTTCATGGCGGTTGGATTTTTAAAAGGATTTTATTCCCCGTGACTCTCAAACTCCAAACAGGCTGTGATCAAACCTCCTACCATCTTTAAAGAGTCCCAGGAGATGACGATGTTTAGCATTTTCCCCCTGCTGTTTTCTCCATTTAACACCTCTCCTCCTAACCCCCACAGAAGCTGCTTTTCATTTTGCAGCTGAAAAAAAAAAAAGAAAAGAAAAAAGGTATCCGTATCATGTCTGTCTGTCTGTCTGTCTGTCTTGCAAAAAAAAAAAAAAGAAAGAAACAAAAAACCCAGCAGATTTTTAGATTGGAAAAACAGCAGTGGGGGAGGGTTAGTTTTTTTTTAAAAAAAACCTCTTTCCCAGCACGGTTGTCCCAGTTGAAATCAAACTGTTCTGCACTTGCTTTAGATGTTTTCAAAAATCAACAATAAATCTGGTTTCCCGCATCACATCTGTTTTGGCCCGCCTGGTGTTTTTGGTGAGAAATGAGGATGTTCAAAGCAGCATCAGAGCACCAGATACCTTAATGATGGATTCTATTAAAATACATGAGCTTTTGAAGACTCTCTTGTGTGAGAGTTGGGGGGGGGGGAAATACAGAAAACAGCAGTCAGGGTATTCTTCCCAGGTGGGACAGTAATCAAAATCTCAAGCGGAAGCCTCTACCAGGTATTCAGAGCGAAATGCTCCAGTTTTGCAGCACAAAGCAAGTAGCCACTCCTCTGTTTTACTCTTCTGGCGGGCCATATATCCTCAAAACCATGGATCGGCATCACTTGGTTATTTTGGCAGTTTCCCCCTGCTCTAATTTATATTTTTTAAAATGCCATCGATTTTTGGGGTCATATTCTCCACCATTATCTCTCTTGTGGGGTGTTATCCCCTAGAGCAGTGATAGCGAACCTTTTAGACACCGAGTGCCCAAACTGCGTGCATGTGCATGCCCAAATTGAAAGGTGCATGTGTGGACATGCACGAGCAGGCACTAGCGTGCTCATGCATGGCCATGCGCATGCACGGGCATGCAGGTGTGTGTATTCACGGACATGCATGCATGTGCAGCAGAGACCCGAAGACCGGCCGGAGACGGGGCATCCCAACACCAGCAGCGCAACAAGAGGTAAGATCTTTTTCTTTTGTGAGCTTCTGTTTCGTCATTTGCAGGGAAACAGATGTTCATGAAAGAAATGCCACGGAGATCTGACCTGGTGTGACAGCGCGCGTGCCAGCAGAGAGGGCTCTGTGTGCCACCTCTGGCTCACATACTACAGGTTCACTACATGGCCTTAGAGACTTGAGAGAATGAGCATCCTATACAGGTAGACCTTGACTTACAAATTGCAATGGAGCCCAACTTTTCTGTCGCCTAAGCAAGATAGTTGTCGAGTGAGTTTTGCTCCATTTTACGACCTTTCTTGCCACAGTTGTTAAGTGAATTGGTGCAGTTGTTAATAGCGATAGCACTTAGACTTATATACCGCTTTACAGTGCTTTATAGCCCTCTCTAAGCAGTTTACAGAGTCAGCATATTGCCCCCAACAAACTGGGTCCTCATTTTACCCACCTCGGAAGGATGGAAGGCTGAGTCAACCTTGAGCCCGGTGAGATTTGAACTGCCAAATTGCAGGCTGCCGGCAGTCAGCAGAAGGAGCCTGCAGTACTGCACTCTAACCATTGTGCCAGTTAGTAAGACAGTTGTAAAGTGAATCGGGCTCATCAGAAGGTTGCAAAAGGTGTTTGTGTGATGCTGGGACACGGTAACCGTCATAACTATGAACCAATTGCCAAGCTTGCGAATTCTGAAGTATAAAAAGTATTTTGTTAAAACTGTGATACCAAGGAGTCTGATGCACCAAATCTTCCTGCTTGAGAGGAAAAAATGAATGTTTACAAGCAATTTCAAATCCAAGAAACTCATAATCTTAGACTGGGATTTTCTGAGTTGTCCTTCCCGCATACTCTTGTGATTAGCCAGCAAGACGAAGCCCCAAGACTGGCAAAGTTATTTTTGCTTAAGTCAGAGAGTAGTACCTTCTACTGGGTTGTTGTTCTTTGGCCATCTGCAACTGATCCGGACATACTAAGCAAGATAATATATCCTCTAGATCTAGCCGTGTGTCTGACCTTATCATTGAGGCAAGAGTCTTGGCTTAAATAGAAGTAGACACCGATTTGTGTCACCCTTGCTCTTCAGAAGAACAAAACAAAGGTCTCATTGGGCAGTGGGGTCTTCTCACATGTAGTGAGATTGGTGGACTGACTAGAGCAGGGGTCAGCAACCTGCAGCTCTGGAGCCAGATGTGACTCTTTCACCCCTCTGCTGTGGCTCCTTGTCGCTCAAAATATGCGTCACAACTGCCAATGTGCGACACCTGCTGGAACACAATTTATTGAGCTTTTCAATCCCCGATAGGCCAACCATGAATAAATCCAAGAAAAGAAAAGTTTCAGAAGAAAAAATAATGTTTAATTCAATTACATATGCTAGTTTTGCGGCCACTCAAGAAACGGTCAGGCAGGGAAAGAGTTTTGTGGCTCCCGGTGTTTTCTTTTCTGTGGGAAACGGGTCCAAATGGCTCTTTGAGTGTTTAAGGTTGCAGACCGCTGGACTAGAGAGACCAAGCCATGCTAATCTTTAGTTGCTGATTTTTTTCCCCCCTTTCTTCTCCACAGAGAATTCAAGTGTAACAGCAGGAGCAGCAAAACAGAAGGTGAGTTGTGAAATGTGGATTTTGTGTTCCCTTCTGTTCCCAAGAGATAGCAGTGGAACAAACAAGTATGGGGGTAGCTTCAGGGGTCTTTGACATACTTAGCTTTCCCCGGCATTTTGCATGAAGCACAGCCTGTGTTTACAGTATTGCTTCCTTGCACCTGGAAGAAAATTATTAGTCGTATTAATGTTTTTGATGTTGTCTCAAATAGCATCTAGTTACCTTTGGGGATGCTTACTGAGGCAGTCGTAGGGAGATCTTGGATCTTATTTGTGACCCCAATTCTTGAGTAAAGGCATTGTTTGCCCTTCGGATCTTGCACGGATCTCTCCCCTTTCTGTGGGGACTGTTTTGGATATCCCAGTAGCAGTAGCACTTAGACTTATATACCGCTTCGCCCTCTCTAAGCGGTTGACAGAGTCAGCATATTGCCCCCAACAATCTGGGTCCTCATTTCACCAACCTTGGAACACTGGAAGGTTGGAAGGCTGAGTCAACCTTGAGCCGATGAGAATCGAATTGCCCAACTGCCGGCAGTCAGCAGAAGTAGCCTGCAGTACTGCATTCTAACCACTGCACCACCACGGTATCCAGTACTTGGATTCAATATGATCTCCCCTGATCTAAAGAGGGGAATAGGAATCTCTGAAAAGCTACAGTACAAGTGGAGAACACTCCAAGCTCTCTAGGTCTCTGCACCCAGCTTTCCAGCATGCTCGGGGAACCCCTATAACAGTGATGGCGAACCATTTTGGCACCGAGTCTGGGTCGCAACCTGGAAGAGGAGCTGCCCAGGGCGCATGTGCGTGCCCGAAAATGAACTTATGGTTTCCGGCGCGTGCATGCGTGCCGGCCAGCTAGTCCTCCGGGTTTCTGGTGTGTATGTGCCTGCGATGATCAGCTGGCCGGCACGCATGGTCACGCAGGAAAACGGAAGACCAGCTCTTCCAGTTTCCAGCACTGCTGCACACATGAAAGCCAGTGATCATCACACATGCATGCACGCCAGAAACCCAGAAGAGGAATGGGCGACGCCGCGCGTGCCGGGTGACATGGCTCCATGTGCCACTTTGGGCATGTGTGCCGTAGGTTCGCCGTCACAGCCCTACAATAAGGGAACCACTCCCTTCTGTTGGGATCCCATTCCATTAGGATGCTTCTGTATCCCCATCCTTCTCTTCTTCGCCCATAGGTCGGTAGAGCAGTGATCTTCATGAGTTGAGGTTCAGATCTGTTGATAGAGTGCCCAGTTACTAGCCTGAAGGAGAACACCTATCAACCGATCTACTCCATGCCTGTCTCTTGGAGACAAAACATGATGCCAGCATGTTCCTAATGGGTGGTGGTGCCTGGAATGACAATCCCAGCTATCACTGTTCTGCTTGTTTATCTGGAGTATTATGCAGCAGGAAATACGTCTTTACTAGAAATGAGGCCACTTCAGGGAAGAGCTCCTGCACATATTTCTGTGGGGTTTGCACAAGAGAACTTCCTGATAAATTATGCCCTTCGTGGCCATCAGTTCCTCTTGCCTCCCACTTCTTCTCCATTCAAGGCATCCATAATATGCGTCACCTTCCCTTGTAACAAGGCTACTTCTCCTTGGTAATGCTAAAGGGCACAGGGGAACTTAAATATAAGCTGTAAAACACTTGACGCATATTTTAACTAATGCAAGGCCATGATTAGATCATTGCTTCACTCCCTTCTTTTCTTCCTCACTTCCTAATTTTCCCCAGTTTGGCACTCCCTAGGTATCATACTTCAACTCTCCATCATTCCTGGGTCAGAAGTAAGGGGTGACAAGTGTGGTGGAGGAGAGTTTTGCAAGTCGTTCATGTTGGGGGAAATTCTGTTATGTAATTCTACCTGCATAATCCACATTGTGCATAATCACATCATGGAAGAATGGGAGATGGAGTTTATTAAAAAATCCAGCTTCTATGAAGCTGAGAAACTGTTTATATCTAGCACACAAATATTCTGCCCCTGTGAAAAAACTTGTGCTGTAGGTTATCTTGCTCCCTAGTCTAAAAAGTTAGGAGACCCTCTACCGCTATCTCCACAGAGGCTTCACTGATAACGGTAGAGGGTCTCCTAATTTCTTGGGCAAGGGAGAAAGATCAACCTACAAGTTTTTCACAGGGGCAGAATATTTGCCTGCTAGATACTTTGATTGGGGCAATGTTCACCCCACCCTTTCTAACCATGAAGACAATAGCATAGACTTGGTGGAAGGATGTGTGTTTGGATGGTCTCATCCACAACGTCTATGCAACTCCCTCAAAGTGATGGAAGAACAGAGCTTGAAAGTCTGTCCCACTTGATCACCAACAACTTCCAAACGCCTTCTCATTTTCTATGGGGACAGAGAAGAGAATGGGTAAACCACCTATCCTCCAGTCATTGATGGAGGAGAAGAATGCTTGGAAGATGCATCTGCTTCTTCCTTGCAGTGTCTCCTCTAGTGTGAGTAGATCAACCCAATGGTAGCTGCATAAAGTACATTATAAAAATCCAGTTCCAAGCTTTAAGATATACCATGAAAACAGACTCAAAGCAAGTTGTGGGAAAGCTGCCAAAAATGGTGACCCAGTTTGGAAGGTCTACATATTAAGTAGTATAGGAAAACTCAAAAGAGGCTACAATTTTTGGCGATACTATATATTGAATTCTTTTATAATGTACAAGAATATTTGCCCCGGCTTGTAATATTATTCTGTGATGCTTTTTCTGCTCCCGGTAGTGTCACAAAGATGTGTAGAGAAGAGCGGGAGAAAGGTCCCATGGGGTGACCTTGCAAGAATGGGTTAACCATTTCTTCCATTTCACAAAGAAAAGAGGGGAATGGCTATTTCAGACTTGGTGGCAAACCCAGAGCTGTTGCCAAGGAACTTAACGTCTTCCTTCTTCCTCTTCCAGGCAGCACATTTCCAGATGTCCATCCAAGCAATTGTTCCACCAAGAGGCATGCAAGTGAAGATGACTTGAGGAAGCGGCTGAAATCCCAGGGGTCACCAGTACTGTCAACCGGAGGTGCTCTGCACAGCACTTCCTCTTCTGATTACATCCAAGAGCCAAAGTTCTATCAGTCAGGACATCCTGGGCAAAAGACATCGGTGTGCCTGGCAGAGAAAGCCTTGCCATATAGCATGCTCAGCTTCCCAGAAGGTTCTTGCACTGTATTAAGTCAAGAGCACAAATCTAGCTCCTTACACCATACAGAGGCGGCCGAGCGGTACAAAAGTCTCCATACCCAGAGCGGCGTCAAGTCGGAAGACTTGCTGGCATCCAGTGTTCCTGCCTGCCCTGCTGACGTCCAAGACTTGGAGGAAACCGCCACACAAGACAGAGCTGCCAAAACTTTCTCCAATGCCACCTTGGCCTCGGGGAGGTGTAACATCGATAGCATCATCTCCCTGTTGAAAAGCAAGTGTGGCAACGGCAGAATCAACCTCTACCCTGTGGTGCAGCTCATAGACATTATGAAGGACATTGACCGACTCTCCCAGGACTTGAAGAGCTGCGGTGTTCACTTAGACTGCAGTGGCTTGCAATTTGATAGCCATCTGCCGCTTAGTGAGGAAGGCCGGGGACAAGGTCTTCATTATAGCTTCTACTCCTCCCCCATGCTGGCCAACAGCATCCGCAGTCCCGAGGAGCTGGCAGTACAAAGCAGCACCAAAGCTGAGCTCCTCAAACAGACTCAACCTAGCCATTATGCGGGAGAAACAGAAGGGGACACTCGAGGTGCCCAGGACCAAATCAGCCAGAGCAGTCCTGTTCTGAAGGTTCCTAGTAGCCTTGATGAAGCTAGCAGCTCAGAGTCTGAGACGAATGATTATCCTGAGCTAACCAATACAGATATCCTGAGCGAACTGGCTTCTCTGGCCTGTCCGGGACCTCAGTTATTAGATCAGCATTCGGATTCCCACCGTCAGCTGCTAGAAAGCCAAGGGGCTGAGTCAAGGTCTCAGTTAATTGGCTCACAGTCTCTAGAACACCAGCCCCAGCTAGTCGATTCTAAGTCTCTGGAGCCGCCTCCAGAACCGTTGGCCCTGCAGACAGTGGATCCCTTGCCTGCACCACTGGGGCTGCAACCTCTAGAACCTCTGGAGCTTCAGACTTTAGAACCTCTTTCTGAGTCACTATCACTCCAGTCCCTAGAACCCCTTTCTGAGCCTCTAGGGCTCCAGTCTTTAGGGACCCTGGACCACCAGTTGCTTGATTCCCAGTCCCAGCTCCTGGATGCAGAGGCCCAGCTGCTTTCCCCTTTGCCCAAGTTGCTAGACTCTCAGCCCCATCTGGGAAGACAGGAGTCTTCAGGAGAACACTCGCTACAACCTGGAGCCCGCCTTGGAGGCTGCTCCTTAAGAGGAGTAGTAAGGAGAGGGGCTGGGCGGGGAAGGGATGATCACAGGAAATACGCTCTACGGAGAACAGATAAACCAAAGATACTCTGTCGTCGTCGGAGGGGAGGCCGAGGCCAGCGAACAGAGATTGTCACTGACAGCCAAGCCCTCCCCATGGCTGTACCAGTGGAGGTGGTCATGGCGCGGCCAGAAGAAGCCAGGATGTCAGTGACCACCATTACAGCAAATGAAGTAGCAGATCCCATTGTTTCCACTTTGGAGTCAGAAGATGGCCAGAAGGCTGCTGCCCTCCTGAATCCCCCAAAGCCCAAATGCCGTGGCATACGTCGGATGGTGGTAAAGATGGCCAAGATTCCCGTCTCTCTTGGGAGGAGGAATAAGACGACGTACAAAGTGTCCTCCCTCACCAGTAGCTTGAATGTAGAAGGCAAAGAGGTTGCCATCTCCCATTCTCTAGAGCCCACCCCACTGCTGAAGATGAAGAACAATGGCCGGAATGTGGTGGTGGTCTTTCCTCCGGGAGAAATGCCCATCATCCTGAAGCGCAAGAGGGGAAGGCCTCCCAAAAACCTGATGCTTGGGCCCTGCAAACCTAAGGAGCCTGCCCCAGAAGTGAAGAAACGGAGGAGGAGGAAGCAGAAGTTGGCATCCCCACAGCCCTCTTACGTTGCAGACACCAATGACAGTAAAGCGGACTATTCAGATGTCCTGGCCAAGCTAGCCTTCCTCAACCGCCAGAGCCAGTGCTCCGCTCGTTGCTCCCCACCCCGCTGCTGGACCCCAAGTGAGCCCGACTCCATCCACCAGGCTCCTGACACTCAGAGCATCTCCCACTTTTTGCACCGAGTGCAAGGCTTCCGCAGACGAGGCGGCAAAGGAGGCGGTTTTGGGCGTGGAGGGAGCCATTCCGCTCGTTCCTCCCGTTGCTCCTTCAGTGATTTCTTCGAAGGCATCGGCAAAAAGAAGAAAGGGGTTCTGGGGGCGGCCATGCATGTCGACCCCACTCATCCCCGGAAGAGAGGCCGTTCAGAGCCAGACTCCATGGAGAAGCCCAAAAGAAAGAGGCGATCTCGCAAAAACGGGGTCTTGTTTCCTGAGCAGAACCCCAGCCAGAACTTCAGTGATGGGTCCTCAGAATGGTGTGGAGAAAAAGAGAGTCTTTGGATGTCCCACCAAGGACACCTTTCCGGTCAAGCCAACCGGAATTGCAGCTACCAAGGCAGCGATTCCCGGACCTTCCACTCCTCAACCATGGAGTCAAGTTCTTCAAGCCGAACTGGTTTTTATGGGGGGAGCAGTTCCCAGTCTGAACTCAGCCAGGAAAGGCAGAACCTTTTCACGGGCTATTTCCGTTCCCTGTTGGATTCCGATGACTCCTCTGACCTGTTGGACTTCGCCCTCGCCAATTCTCGCTCGGCCTCACGGAAATCCTCGACCACATATACAGCCCCGCCCAATGCTATTGCAACCCAGAGAGGCATGGCGTCTTACTCAAGCCGGGGTGGGAAAGCCACGCCCTCTTCTACCACCACAACTGCCACGAGCGAGGTGCCCTTCCACACAGTCAGCCGGCAGTCGTTCCCTCCCAACAGAGCAACAGGCTACAACCTGTCCCAGGCTGCTTCGGAGTGCCGTGACCCAGATGCCTTCCAGAAGCTGGCATCTCTCTCGGCTGTCTCCAGGTCTCCCACTACTCACTCCACCACAGCCTCCAGCTATGCACAATATGGCAACTATGGCAGTACTGGAGGGCAAAGTGTGACTCCTGCCAGCTTGTTTCAGCAAGGGAAGTCCTACCACGCCACCCAAGACTGTCCCAACAACAAGGATTGCAGCTTCACCTACGGCGGTGGCAATAGCCTGCCCTCCTCCCCAAGCAGTGCCCACAGTGTCAGCTACACCCAGCAAACTTCAGGGCCCAGCATGTCCCTGAGTAAGCCCTCTTTCTTCAACAGCTCCGATCCCAGCCAGTTCTCCAGCTCCTCTCACACACCCATGAGGTGTGACAGCCGGGCAAGCACTGTATCGCCAGGGGGTTACATGGTCCCTAAGAGTTCAATCCCCTTCCAGCCCTCACCGGAGAACTGTAGGCAGTTTCCTAGTGCCTCTCAATGGGCTTTCCGACAAAGCTATGGCCTGGACTGGAACTCTGAGTCCTTCAGTCAACTCTACAACCCGGGCTTTGACTGCCACATCAATGAACCCAACGTCATCCTAGACATCTCCAACTATACACCCCAGAAGGCCAAGCAGCAGACGGTCTCCGAGACCTTCTCCGAATCCTCCTCAGACAGTACCCAGTTCAACCAGCCATCAGGCTACAGGAGGGCCAACAGTGAGGCTTCGTCTAGTGAAGGGCAGTCCAGCCTCTCTAGCTTAGAGAAGCTGATGATGGACTGGAATGAGTCTTCTTCAGCCCCAGGTTACAACTGGAACCAGAGCGTTTTATTCCAAAGCAGCTCCAAGCCAGGACGGGGCAGGCGAAAGAAAGTGGACATATTTGACACGGCCCATCTCAGTTTCTCCACGGGGGGCTACCCCTCCAAGAGAGGGACTGGTGCTCGGCAGCCACGGGGTTCCCGGGGCGCCTGCGCTTCCAAAAAAGAAAGAGGCACAGGCAAAGCTAAGTTCCCTACCAAATCCCAGTCGGTGAACCCGCTGTTTCAAGACAGCACAGATTTGGGACTGGACTACTACAGCGGGGACAGCAGCATGTCCCCGTTGCCTTCACAGTCCCGGAGCTTTGGGCTCAGTGAACGCGATCCTTGTGACTACACCGGGCCCTACTCCATGAATCCTTCCACGCCTTCGGATGGCACCTTTGGGCAAGGGTTCCAGAGTGACTCCCCCAGCCTGGGGCAGACGGACTTGGAGAGCAAGCATTTCCCCACCCTGCCCCACCAGCTGGCTGCCCCACCCTCTCAGCAGACGGTGTTCGAAGCCAGCTTGCAGAAAGCTTTCTCGCCCAACTGCTCCCCCACCCTGGCTTTCAAAGAGGACTTGCGGCCCAGTGACATCCGGAAGCTTCCGGCCTGCGACTCGCTCAAACATGGCATCGCCGGGGTGGCCGGCTTGGCCCACTCGGCCGCCCACATGGCCTGCCGGGACCTCTCCATGTCTCAGCCGCACTATGATTCTCCCAGCTGTAAAAACCCCAGCTATTGGTATTCGCCCACTGCCAGCACCCGCAGCCCTCCCTATGACAACAAAGCCGGCGTGAGCATGCTGGTAGACTTCATGGGGAGGAGCCCCGAGGCTTCTTGCCTCAACCCCCATTTGACCAGTCCCCCCAGCAGCAACCCTTCCAAGAGCGAGAAGGAGCCCATGGACATGGCAAGGGCTCATCACCGAGGAGCCTATATTTGCCCCTTGATGAATGACTTAAATATCTCCCCGGTCCCGAGAGACTCGATGCTGCCGCTGCAGGACAACTATAGGTACCCCAGCTTTGCACCCCAAGGGCACCCAATCATGACCGCACCCCAGAAGAGCGGGTTTTTGGGTCCAATGCTAGAACAGCATCCCGAGGACACATTCACAGTCACCTCCTTGTAGTGTCATCTGAAGTGCCAACCAGACACGAGGTTTTGTTTCAGGGTAGGTGCCTGAGGAAGAGCTGGGAGGGGAGGGGGGGTGCGGGGACGGGGATGGGGACGGAGTGGGCTTGGGAGCTCATCATCATCGTTATCATCATGCCAATGGGGCTAGCAAAGAGGCTCACGGCACAATGGGGATGAAAACAAACGAACAGGTTCCTCTGTGGGGTGTTTTTTTAAAAAAAGGTCTTTTGTAATGGTAGACACGAACTCAGATACCAACTGGCGAATGGCTCTCGGACAGGAGTTTGAACTTAGGGCAGTGTTTCTCAACCTCGGCCTCTTTAAGATATGTGGATTTCAACTGCAGAGTTCCCCAACAATTCAGCCAACGTTTAGAGTCATGTTGGCTTGGGAATTCTGGGAGTTGAAGTCCTCGCATCTTAAAAGTTGTGTCAAGGTTGAGGAACACTGTCTTAGGACGATGCTAATAGAGGTGGTCCTTGCGATGGGACCACAATTGAGCCCAACATTTCCGCTGCCAAGCAAGACAGTGAAGTGACTTTTGTCCCATTTTATGACCTTCCTTGCCACAGTCGTTCAGTGAATCGCTGCAGTTATAATGTGGTTATAAAGTGAATCTTGCTTCCCCATCGATTTTGCTTGTCAGAAGGGCGCAAAAAGTGATCACATAACCCCGGGATATGGCAACCATCTTAAACACAGGTCAATTGCCAAGTGTCCGAATTTTGATCACGTGACCCGTAGGGATGCTGCAATGGTCATAAGTGTGAAAAATGGTCGTCAGTCACTTTTTTCCAGTAGCATTGTGACTTTGAACAGTCAGTAAACGAATGGTTGTAAGTGGAAGATTACCTGTGGCAAGATCTCATGCAGGCAGCAGTTTTACGTAAGCCAGTCCAGATCAATGTGTCAATCAGGGGTGTCAAACTCAAGGCCCGCGAGCCGCATCCAGCCTGCCAGGTACTTAGATCTGGCCCACCAGGCCACCCTGGAATCAACGAAGGACCAGCCCGTGGTGCCTCTTCCAGCAAAAATGGAGCTTCGTTTTCACTGGCGGGGGTTGCAGGAGGCTGTTGCAATCGAAAACGGAGCTTGGGAGTTGATTTTCACTGGCTCAGGCCACTACAGGTGCCCCCCCCAACATGAGCGATGTCATGCTGGCCACGCCCACCTAGGCCACATCCACCCCTCCGATGTCAAACACAACCCTGATGCAGCCCTCAATGAAATCGAGTTTGACACCCTTGGTGTAGATCTACCATATTTCCCTGAAAATAAGACCAGGTCTTATATTAATTTTTGCTCCAAAAGATGCATTAGGGCTTATTTTCTGGTTAGGTCTTATTTTGGGGGAAATACGGTACTAAATGCATCCATCTGGCTGACAATCTTAACTGGGGCTTATTTTGGGGGTAGGGCTTATATTACAAACATTCTGAAAAATCATGCTAGGACATATTTTCCGGTTGGGTCTTATTTTCAGGGAAACCGGGTAGCAAGCATATTTGGAGCTCCAGAAGATGGTGATGAGTATACAACTCACACAAACAGCCACTGAGACCCGAGACTTGGCATGCATAAAAGGACAAGTCACAGTGGGCAGCCGTTCCCTAGCAATGGCGAGGGTGCTCCCCAGCATCCCTCCCCATCTTCTCCCCCTTCCTGTGGTTTTATCTTTGGTCTTAGCGGTAGATGGGGACATTTCCAGACCAATCTCTGGCAACCTGTAGCTAACCATCCTTTATGGGCCTTCATGGAGAATCCAGAGGCGTTCCTGTCATTGAAGGCTAGTCTGGTGCTTTGTTTTGTATCATGCCCGCTTTTATTTATTTTTTTAAATGAAAAGAATTTTCACAGCAATAAAGTTAGGTGGAGCAGGAATCCCAGAATTGTGTCACCCTTGAGTTATGCTGACTCGTAATCTGCTTCTTATGTGCAAGTTCTTAAAAAAAAGGGGGGGGAAGTGTTATGTTAACTAATAACCACTTTAGAGGAGACCACAAAGAGTTTAGCAATATTCTTCCCTAAGTTTGCTCATGTAATGTCTGAATCACAAACCTTTCGCCCCACATTTTAGCTCAGGGGTCTCCAACCTTGGCAACTTTAAGACTTGTGGACTTCAACTCCCAAAATTCCTCAGCCAGCAAAGCTGAGGAATTCTGGGAATTCTGGCTGAGGAATTCTGGGAATTCTGGCTGAGGGATTCTGGGAATTGAAGTCCACAAGTCTTAAAGTTGCCAAGGTTGGAGACCCCTGTTTTAGCTGACCACCTTTTATAAACTCAGCCTGTGGTTAGTTTATGCTTCAGTGTCGTGTGCAAATTTAGAAAAGTGGATTCATTCCATAAACTGTGGGTCACGTTAATCATGAGTAAACATGTCATGCAAATGTCTTATCAAGAGTCACGGTTATCCCAAAGGTGTTTTTTTCCAAAAGGCAACTGGACTTTCTTGGGTTTTTTTCTTTTCTTTAAAAACGTTTCACTTCTCATCCAAGAAGCTTCTTCAGTTCTGGAGGAGAAGCGAAACGTGTTCAAAGAAAAAAAACCAAGACAATCCAGTTGCCTTTTGGAAAAAGCACTTTTGGCACATAGCATGCAAACACAGTCCGTAAAAGATCTTCAGATAGCTACAAATCAACAGAAGTTCCTGGGACACCTTTCCAGAGAACATCCTTCCAAAATTGGATATATTTAAAGGTAGTGTCGATCGAAAGGTCGGCAGTTCAGCGGTTCGAATCCCTAGTGCCGCGTAATGGGGTGAGCTCCTGTTACTTGTCCCAGCTTCTGCCAACCCAGCAGTTCGAAAGCCCGTAAAAAATGTAAGTAGAAAAATAGGGACCACCTTTGGTGGGAAGGTAACTGCGTTCCGTGCGTTCCTTTGGCGTTGAGTCATGCCGGCCACATGACCACGGAGACGTCTTCGGACAGCGCTGGCTCTTCGGCTTTAAAACAGAGATGAGCACCACCCCCTAGAGTTGGGAACGACTAGCACATATGTGCGAGGGGAACCTTTACCTTTACCTTTTTAAAGGTAGTCCTCCATTTATGACCAGAATTGGGACAAGAATTTCCATTGCTAAGCAATGCAATTGTAAAGTGTGACACCATTTGACTGCATCGCTTAACGATGACAATCCTGGCAGGCACTGTTCCGTTGTTAAATGAATCCCACCGGTCGTTAGCTTCACTTTCTCAAAACAATCAGTCACATGGTCCAATCACAGCTCTGTCTGGTTGCCTGGTGACATCACTCCTCCTTCCTCTGACCAGATGTGCCAGAATGTCCTTGGTTCCCAAGTATTTTATTTCGGCTACAAAGTCCCAACTATCTCAAATCCCTCCCTCCCCGTCCTTCAGTTCCAGTGTGGCAACACTGAAGCTCCAAGATGACTTCGGTCGGGTCAGCTTCAGGGTTGACACACACAGACTTGGTGGTTTATAAACCCTCCTCCCGCTTAGCATGGTGTGTGAACGTCACCAGCGGCAGCTGTGTTTTGCTATAATTTAAACACCATCCCTAAAAGGAAGGAGGGGAGTAGGAAGATAAATGTGGCAACTCTAAACCCTGCGCGTGATCCTCAGCCTCCATATGCCTATCTAGCTCTCGTGGCCTCTTTTCCGCTTCAGAAATAAGTTCCAGCTACTTCTAGGAAGACCCACCAGGGAAAGAGGTTATAAATGTTTGGCTCCTCTTTTGGATGCCCTCCATCCGGCTCTTCCAATTCAGAGGTTCCATCTGTTAACTAAGCATTGGGGTTGAGATTTAGCTGTCTGTAAACAAGTTATTTGGCCGTATTGTATTTCTGTATCCGTCATTACTTTTATTAGCCACCTAAAGGGTCATAATGCAGAAAGGCAGGATAGGCGTTGAAAAATAAAAAAAAATAGAACAAGTAAATTAATATTTAGTGGGGGGGGGGACAGATTATCCCAGAGGCTCCTGAAAGTTAAGTTCAGGAGCTCTGATATAGCAGGATACATACCTCTTTGACATTCCAAACACACAGAGTGAGAGACAAAAGGTTTCACTTCCAAATCTCACGAGGTCCCTGTCACTCCCAAGCTCCGGAATAGCTTCCCTTGGTAGTTGTATTTATCTTTCACTCTTTCCATCCTCAGATCAAGGCTTTCTCCTTCAACCAGGCCTTTTGAGTTTCGTGAACAATTCTGTTCTCTAGTTGGTCCAGGGAGATGCTGTCAGTACCCGATGTGTAAAAAAGGGGGATATTAAACCAAAATGCACGCATCCTCATACAAGCAAGCAACATATACCGTATATTTCGGAGTATAAGACACACCTTTTCCCCCCCTAAAAGGGGGTGAAAATTTAGAAGTGTCTTATACACTGAATGTAGCCCGGCCCACCCACTGGCCCCCACCCTTTGGCCTCTGCCTCCTAGCAGTTTACCTCCTTGCAAGCAAACAGCAAGAAAAAACAGCTCCTTTCAGCTTCAGCACAGCCTAATTAGCACAAATGGATTGGATTGGATTGGATTGGAGGCGCAAGGCTCTGCTGCTTGCTGCAAGGTAGAAAATTGCTGGAGCAGATTTTTTTTTCCCTTGTACTAATCAAGCTATGCTGAAAACGAAAATGAAAGTAAAGCAGGCTGTTTGCTGCAAGGAGGCAAAATTGCTCAGAGGCAGATTTCTTTTTTCTTTTTTTCCCTCACCAAAAAAGATAGATGCATCTTATACTCTGAAAAATACGGTAGATACATCCTGTTAGACTCAGCCTATTCCTCACTTTGAAGGTCACGACTTTCTGGTCCCAGGAATTAGAATCGGGGAAGCTGATAAAAATTAATTGCAGCAATTTGTGTCAGTAGAGGCCACGGGGAAAGGACTACAGCTAGGCCAACCAGCAAATAAGACCCTGAAGCATTCATTATAGACTGATGTCTGTGGAGATTCTCAATCATCCAGGTCATGGTTGTCCCAAAAGTGCTTTTTCAAAAGACAGCTGGACTTTGTTTTTGTTTTTTTCCCTTGAAGACAAACTGAAGAAGCTTCTTGGATGAGCAGCGAAACGTCTTCAAGGAAAAAACAAAAGTCCAGTGGCCTTTTGAAAAAGCACCTTTGGGACATTACAGACTGAGTTGGTGGTGAGCACAATTCATAGATGGGGTGATGGGTCACTAACACTGCAGAATTAAAACAGTCAGAATAGAGCTTGGAGATGGAAGATCCACCTCCCTGTTCAAACAGGAGACCCTATACCAGTGATGGCTAACTTTTTTGCCGTCATGTGCTTAAAGGGGGGGGGCAGAGAGTGCGTGGGGTTGAGCACCCACGTGCCCACATCCATAATTCAATGTGCCCCACTCCCATGCATGTACGCATGACCCCCCGCGCTCCCATTGCTTTTGGCCCACGATGGCCCGGTGGGCACGGTAGGCCTGTTTTTGGCCCTCCCCAGGCTCCAGAGGCTTTCTAGGAGCCTGGGGAGGGCAAAAACGGCCTTCCCCAACCCCCCGGAGGCCAGAAACAGCCCGTTTCCCGATTTCCGGTGGGCCCAAAATGACCGAAAATCAGCTGGCTGGCATACGCATGCACGCTGGAGCTGAGCTAGGGCAACGCTCACATGCCCACAATTATGCCACCTATGGCACACGTGCCATAGGTTTGCCATCACGGCCCTATACCATTTCAGAAAGGTTGCTGTCCAGTCTTTTCTTTAAAACCTCCAGTGATGAAGCATCTACAATTTCTAAAGTTCCGCTGTTTCATTGTTCTCACTATTAGGAAGCTTCTCCTTCATTCCAGGTTGCTTCTCTCCTTGATTAGTTTCCACCCATTGTTTCTGGTCTTGCCTTCTGGTGCTTTGGAAAATAAGTTGACCCTTTCTTCTTTGTGGCAGCCCCTCAAATACTGGAATACTTCTATCATGTCACCCCTGCTAATCCTTCTTTTCTCTAGACTGGCCGTATCCAATTCCTGCAACCGTTCTTCATATGTTTTTAAATGACATGATAAGATCTGATGATCCAAGGGTCCCCTTTGCCTTTTTAATTTTCCTTTGTGTTATTTTTAATTGGGAGAGGATATGCGGATGAAAAGATAATGCCCTTCCTACCATCTTAAATGGAACAGCCCAGAGCAGGGGTCTCCAACCTTGGCAACTTTAAGTCTGGTGGACTTCAACTCCCAGAATTCCCCAGCCAGCAAATCGGGTTGGGGAATTCTGGGAGTTGAAGTTTGCCAAGGCTTAAAGTTGCCAAGGTTGGAGACCCCTGGCCTAGAGAGAGCTGTACAGGTAGTCCTCAACTTACAGCCACAACTGGCACCAGAATTCCTGTTCCTAACCAAGGTGGTGGTTATAGGAGTGGGATCCAATTTTACATACTTTTTTTTTTTTTGCCCAGGTTGTTATGCAAATCACTGCAGTTGTTAAACGAATGATGCGGTTGTTAAGTAAATCTGTATTCCTGCATTGACTTTGCTTGTTGGAAGCTGGTAGTTTGCAAATGGCAGTCACATGGCCCTGGGAAGCTGCCGTCATTGTTTGTCAAATAATTTTCTTAGATTTTTACAAAGCACACGCATAACAAAACCATGTTAACTAACAATCAGGAGAAACAATAAAGTGTAAAAAGAGACTAGGGATAGAAGTTTGAAATGGTAGAAAGAAAAAGAAAGGGAACACTAATATATACAAAGAATGACGTCTGACTTCTTCCAAGTATAGAAAGAATCCTCACATTCAAAACTTAGTTGATTAAGACCAGGGGTGAAATGCTACTGGTTTGGACCGGATCACCCGATCCAGTAGCGATGGAGGCGGGTGGTTCGGAGAACCAGTAGCAAAAATCCCTGCCCTCCCCCCATGTCCAGCTGAGCTGCACAATCATCAGAGGCTTTTTTTTTTTACTTTTAAAAGCTTTTTCTACAACCTCTTCGGCTGAAAAAATGCTTTTAAAAGTAAAAAACAGCCTCTGATGATCGCTTGGCTCAGCTGGGATCATCAAAAGCTTTTAAAAGCATCCTCAGAGGTTGTAGAAAAAATGCTTTTAAAAGCCTCTGACGATCCCAGCTGAGTTGCCTGATGGCAGAAGCTTTTTTTTCTTTTAAAAGCCTCTGACGATCCAAGCTGAGTTGCCTGATCATCAGAGGCATTTAAAAGAAAAAAAGCCTCTGCCGATCAGGCAACTCAGCTGGGATCATCAGAGCCTTTTGAAAGCATTTTTTCTACAACCTCTTCGCCAAAGCGGTTGTAGAAAAAATAATTTTAAAAGTTAAAAAAAAAATTGGCCACGCCCACCCAGTCACATTACCCCACCACCACCAAGCCACACCCACAGAACCGGTAGTAACAAATTTTAGATAATAAATTGTCCATTTTCCTCAAAAGAAAATGGAAATAAAAGTTCAATCCCCCCCCCCGCCCCATTTTTAAAAATGTTAACAATTATCAAATCCATGTGACAAAGTTTGATTTTTCTCCAACGGAAGGTGCAGCCATTGTAAATGCATGCCGGTTGCCAAGCAGCCAAATTTTGATGACATGACCATGGGCACACCCCAATCGTCGTAAGAGCGAGGACCGGTTGTCACTTTTTTTCAGTTGCCACTGTAACTTTGAACAGTCACTAAACAAATATAAAATGAGGATTACCTGTACCATCGTCTTTGTGTATCTTTAAATACACAAAGGATCATCTGAAACCCGTCATTCCAGTGGACATTTCCAGAAGTAATGTCTCAGTTCTTTTCTGTCCATGAATATTGTTTACTATACGAATCATAATTTTAAACTATAATTCCACATACATTATGCTGGCTGCCCTTCAATTCAGCCGCTGTTTGCAGTGAAACTGTGTGCTGTCTTCATGTCACCCTTTTGCCCTGCAGCAGAGAGAAAGGACCTGGTCATTTCTAAGGGTTGTTATCTACAGTTCCCAAAGTTTTTCATCTCTGGCAGGGATGACCAAGAGTTGTTGTTTTTCAGCAACATCTGGAGGGTTACAAGTTTATCACTCCTGCTGTATGCAATGGCACAGCTGGAAGAGAAGGGAGAATATCTTTTTTTTTTTTTGGACAAGCATCCAAATGTCCCCCCCCAAGAGTGTGTTCAAAAAAATGTCAAATTAGCAGCAACCCAAGCTCTGTCCAGTTTTTTTTGTCTCGTGCCCCCCTATACTTCTCTCATGTTCCTGTCTTGTGGATTCACACAGATGCACACAGCTTTAAAAAGAAAATGACTGCACATTTAACAACCAAAACAGTTGTGTGTTAGACCAGGGGTGTCAAACTCAAGGCCCGGGGGCCGGATCCAGCCTGCGGAGTGCTTAGATCTGGCCCGCGGGAGCCAGTGGTAGTATTCAGCCGGTTCTATCCGGTTCGAGCAAATTGGTAGCGGCGGCTGCGGGAGGCTCCGCCCAGATGTCATCACATCTCATTTTTTACCCTCTGCGCATTCATGGAGGTGTGCGTACGAGCGAAGTGAGCGTGCACGTGCACTCACATTTGCGAACCGGTAGCGAAGGTAAGTTAATACCACCCCTGCACAGAGCATTCTGGAAACAGAGAAGGACCAGTGCCAGCGAAAACAGAGCTTGGGAGGGCTCTCCTGAGCTCCGTTTTTGCTGGCAGGCGGTTGCAGGAGGCTGTCGCAGGCGAAAACGGAGCTTAGGAGCCCATTTTCACTAGCAGAGCGGCTTAGGCCGCCACAGGCGCCCGGGACATGAGTGACGTTGAGCTGGCTGTGCCCACCCTGGCCACACCCCTCCCCCCCTTCCCGAGGTCAAACACAACCTTGATGTGGCCCTCAATGAAATCAAGTTTGACATCCCTGTATTAGATTTACAGTTTGGAGAGCAAAGCTCGGGGCATATTGTTGACCACAAAGTTAATTGTGTGTCCTTGGGCTCTGAAGCTAGCCTTCCTCTCTGGGTTATTGTGAGGAGCCTTGGTAGTACAGTGGATAAAGCACCCTGTTATTAAGACCAGCTGCCTGCAATTACTGCAGGTTCGAATCTCGCCAGGCTCAAGGTTGACTCAGCCTTCCATCCTTTCTAAGGTAGGTAAATTGAGGACCCAGTTGTGGGGGCAATAAGCTGACTTTGTATAAATATACAAAAGGATGAAGGCTATTGCTTAGCACATTGTAAGCCGCCCTGAGTCTCCGGAGAACAGCGGAATATAAATCAAATTAAAAAAATAAAAATAAAAATGGGGAAGCTAGTCTTGAGCTTCTTGGAGGAATGGGGTAAAATCGGGTGAAATCCACTTACCTTCGCTACCGGTTCGCAAATGTGAGCGCGCACACAGACATGCTACGCTCGCGCCTCCTCCATACATGTGCAGAGGATCAAAAACGGGACGTGATGATGTCCGGGCGGGTGGGCGGAGCCTCCCACTGCCAGCGCTACCGATTCGGCCAAACTGGATAGAACCAGCTGAATTTCACCACTGGGTAAGATACATAAATCGAAGGGTAAAAATTTAGCTGTCCTTGATTCAAATTAAGCAGTGCCAATGAGTCTTCAAGGGGGGGAAAAATACCGAGAGGCATGAACGGCCAACCAGCCATCTTCTATGCTAAAAGGAAAAAAAAAAAAAAGGACAGCCTAAATAAGCATGGAAATGTTTAGTAGGTGCTTTTTACCAGGTCTCTAAATTGTAGATTGTAGAGAAAGGATTTGTTGGACAAAAAGACAATGAGTCTCTTGGGTTCCATGCACCAAAATGAATACTTGAGCCCTGCCAAGAGTGGGCTGTGTTTTGATCAATGTTTCTTTCTGTTTTTTCTCTCCCCCCCCTCCCTTCTCTCTTTCTCTCTCTCTCTCTCTCAATCTCTTTCAGAGCTACTTTAGCAGCACTTTTCTCTGGAACACTTTTCAAGTTCTGTATTTAATGGAAATCAAAAACAAAACAAAACAAAAAGAAACCCCCACCGCACACGCACACACAAACACACACACACATAGGACAAAAAAAAAATCTTTTTGTTTGTTCCGCTCGTTTCTTGGTTGGTTCATTTGCTTTTTTTTTTTCTAAGAAAACAAAAGAAAAGAAAAAAAAGAAAAGAGAAAAAGAAAGAAAAGAAGGAGGGGAAAGGAGACAGAGGCAAACACTCCCCCCCCCACATCCCTCTCTTTAAAAACAAAGACAGAAAGGAGAAAAAAAAAAGAAAATATGATGAAAAAAAATCAATAAGCTTGCTTTCTTTGATAACGGCAAGGGGGGGGCAGTTTTTGAAGCAGACTGTCAGGAGCTCTCTCAACCAACAGCCCAGCAAAAAGACAATCGAAAATCCTTGCAGATGCCTAAGTCAAGTGGCCGAGTGGAGGCCGCCAAGCCTCTCAGCACCCACCCATCCACCCGCAGCATGCAGGCGAGAAGTACTTCAGAAAGCAACGGACAGAAACCAAGAACTGCCAGAAGGAAGGGGACATTCATTTTTGCTTTTTTAATTTTTTTAATGGTGGGGCGGAAGGTGTTGGGGAGGGAAAACTGTGATCTATGAACGCCAATGAAAACTCATCAAAGAAGACTGAAGATTGGGCATTCTCTTCCTTCGTCATCTCTTCCTCCTTTCCCTTATGTCTCCCTCCTTTTTTTTTTTTTTTTTACATTTTTTTTATTTTTTTTTTTTTCTTCCCAGTGGTTGGTTGGTTGGTTTGCCTTTTTTTTTTTCCTTTACAAAAAAAAAAAGAAAAGAAAAAGAAAAAACTTTGTTGCTTAATTTCTTTGGGGAGCCCAGAAGATTTTACAAGTCTATGAATCAATCTCGGAGACCACCACCTTCTCCCAGTAAGTAATCTTGTGACTCCGGCCCCCTTTGCTTTCCTCGGCATCCTTTCCCATTCCACGGTGGGCAGGTGGTTGATTTGTCTTTTGCGGTTGGCCACTTCCCTGTGCTACCTGTTCTTCCTATCATCTCTGCTAAAAGGACTAGAAACTTGTTGATAGATGCTGTCATAGCCTCTGAGCAAAACCGCTGTGAAGCACTTTAAAAACCCCAATGTTGCAAAATAATGATGATGATGATACCCAGTGGTACCCATTATCATCAGGGCACTTGGTACCATGTCCAAGATTTTTACAAAATATCAAGAAATTGCAGCTTTCTGCAATAACACCAGCAGAGCTGCAAAAAACTGTGTTACTTCAGAACATCATATATTTTAAGACGATACTTGGTTAATACCTAGGACACTGGCAGCAACCCATATCAACCATTAGCACCAGTCAATCGTATTTGTGACACATTTTTAAATGATCAGTTGACTGAGTTTCATGTTTAATGAATAAAAGAGATAATAATAATAATCTGGGAACTTGTTGATTGATGCACCCGGTGCTCATAGCTTTATTACTGAAATGTTCCTTTTTGCCTTGTGCTATTAAAAAAAAACAGACACTCCTGCCTCATTTATAGACAAACTCATTCGCTTGGTTATGCATCAATTGCACAAGGAATTAAGATAACCACTGTTGTGTCAGTCATCATGTATTTTGCCATCAAGTGGTCAAACCACCCTTCGTTTCCATTGATCACTGTGGGAGCAGCCATTCCATTCCTGGTGCCCTCCCAGCTCCCATGATGCACTAGCCAGCTTCTGCAACCCAGAACCTGGAGAGGAAATGGAGCAAGCTATCTTGCTAGCTGCACATCAGCTCGATTCACACATTGTGCCGAGTAGTTTTTTAGTTTGTTCATGGTAGGCTTGATCTGTTGAGTGAACCCAATGCCTGTCAGTTTGTAAAATCAAATGGCTTATGGGTTAACCGGATCATCATTTTGAGGTTTATTCAAGAAAGCGCTGTTTGAACTAAAATCTTGGTTTAGCATGCTATACAAAGTTTCGTTTCTGAACACCAATGGCTCTCCAGAGTTTCAGGAGTAGCTTTTCCAAATCTATCTGAAGATGCTGTTGCATTAAACTTAGAATTATTTTGCAAGCAAACAAGATGCTCTACCACTGAAATATCTTCCCACTCAAAAAATTGCCCCAGGTTGTGTAGATTATTGTCAGCAAAAAGTAGGGAGGTTTGTATAGGCCTATGTTAATATGGATGGAAGCACCTGCTTCCCTCCCCCCCCCCCCAAATACATCTTGTTCATGTAATGATTCTGGCAGCTATTGTTCCTTTTTCAGCTGTGCTGTTTTATGACTTTCTCGTACTGTTGACAAAATTTGTGTACTGCCTTGAATGTTGGACAAAGCAGTCCATGGACCTTCTAGACTTGGCCTAAGGTATCTATGTTCAATGATGCTAGGAGGATTAGGGACCTGATTTACACTATCTTCAGTCCTACCGGACATCAAATAAATAATCATAAAAATGATTGCAAACAATTGTTTAGTTGGTTTTTTTAAATCTATGTTTTCATGATAGCAGTGGTGAAATCTACTTACCTTCCTTACTGGTTCGGAAGGTCGCTCACATGCGTGTGTCAATGCGTGCACAGACCCTCTGCACATGTGCAAAAACTTCTGCGCATGCACAGAAGGTAAAAAACACATTACTTCCTGGTTAAAACCAGGAAGTAATGACACCCAGGCGGGTGGGCGGAGCCTCGCGCCACCATCGCTACCGGTTCTCCGAACCACCTGCCACAATCGCTACCGGATCGCCTGATCTGTCCGAACCGGGAGCATTTCACCCCTGCATGACAGATTAGGGTTTTACTTGTAGGTGTCCACTACTTTGAGCATCATCATCATCATCATCATCATTATTACCTTTTAAATAAATAACTGCTTGAGGAATCCCCCTTCCAAGGTACTTCTGAGTATCCTTGTTTTGCTTTAAGCTGTTTTCACATTTTTCCTTAGAAATTGTGGTTTGCTTGGATTTGGCTGAGCAGTAAATATATATATATACCCAGCTGGTTCTGATCTGTTTTAGTCCAATAAGGGAACCAAACCAAAATCATCTGCTTGAATCTTCTTTAATTTGGGGGTTTTTTTTCTTTCTTTTTTTACTGTAAACTTCCTGGAAATAACCTTGAGTGTTGGGCAGCATACAAATCCTGTGAGTAAACAACATGGAAAGAACTGAACGGAATGTGTGTATCAAAACAGCGCAGTTAATCCCACAAAACAGAGAGGGCGTGTTGCAATTCCAGATGCAACATCAAGACCAAGATCAAAGTTTCAGTAGAGCTAATTGATGCCTGTCTGGATGAGCCTCCAATTCGCTGGGTCCTGAAGATATTTCTTTGCTGCCGGGATTGTTGCTGATTGGGAAACTCCGTTTTTCTTCCTCCTCAGTTGCCCTAGTTGAGGTGGTCGAAGGACCACCAGTGATCTATCCTTCGACTCCTTCAGAACCTCCACTTGAATAGAATAGAATGAAAGGGACCTTATAGGTCATCTAGTCCAGCCCCCTGCTCAAGCAGGAGAACCCATATACCATTTCAGATAAGCGTCTGTCTGGCTCTTCTTAAAAACCTCTAGTGATGGTGAGCCCACAATTTCTGGAGGCAAGTTATTCCACCGGTTAATTGTCCTCACTGTTAGGAAGTTTCTCCTCAATTCCAGGTTGCTTCTCTCTTTGATCATTTCCAACCGTTGTTTCTTGCCCTCCCCTCCGGTGCTTTGGAGAATAATTTGACCCCCCTCTTCTTTGCGGCAGCCCCTCAAGTACTGGAACACTGCTGTCATGTCACCCCTAATTCTTCTTTTCTTTAGACTAGCCAAACCCAAATCCTGCAGCTGTTCTTCATATGTTTTAGTCTCCAGGCCTTGGATCATCTTAGTTGCTCTTCTCTGAACTTTTTCCAAAGTCTCAACGTCTTTTTTTGTACTATGGTGACCAAAACTGGCTGCGGTATAAACTTAGCATACCGGGAAATCATTAGGTCACATTGAAAACAACGTAGCAAGCCAGATATTGGAGGCATCTGTGCAAACCTTGGTCATTGCAAGCCTGGATGTTTTCACTCAATATTGCTAAATTTCTATGCCACCTATCTCGCTGCCCAAAGTGACTCTTTGGGGAAAAAAGTGATTCCCCCCCCCCCCCAAAGTCTCAACATCTTTTTCATAGTATGGTGACCAAAATTGGTTGCGATATACGAACTTGGACTAAGCTCGTTCTCTAAAAGTGGGGAAACTGGTCTTCCAGATGCTATTGCTGTGGAGTGACCTTTGGCTCTCGGTAATGCTGGATGTGACTAATGGATGCTTAACTCCAATCCTGCTGTTCCCCCAGGCTTGCTCGAGCAGGAGAACACCATGAAGACATATTTATACCCCTCCCAGCAAATTTATAGCGTCTTTTGTTCTTTTCCAACCTCTCTAGTCACTGAATTCCCGTTCCACTCAGCCCTGCAGACCTTGTCCTTGTTTCATTGTTTGTGCGTGTGAGTTTTCTGGCTGCACTCTACCGAGGTATGCACCTGTGCCTTTAATCCTCTTGATTAGGTTGTTCCACCATGTGCACACACCTCCTCCCCCTCTCTTCCCCCCCCCCCCCACCATCAGAAGGCCTTTTCCTGGAGTGCAGATGCCTGTCTGGATTTTGTCCCCTTTCCTCCTGTGTTTTTCAGCTTTAATCAGGATGTACTCAAAGCCATCAGGGGCTGGGTAATTTGGCACTAATTGCATGCCAGGTTTGTTTCTCACCGGCTTGTTCCATTTCAGAGAAGGAGCTTCTCTTTTTTTTAACAATCAATCGATAATGGATTAGCATACTGAAACAGCCATATTAAAGTCACATTAAATGCTCATTTAAATCCATTCACGGGGAAAGGAGGGAGGGAGGGAGGCAGATCAGCTTGGGTACTTCTTTAATGCAGATGTACTGAGGTGGGGCCCTCCAGCTGTGGCACTAGCACTCTGAGCGAACCCCCATTCTGGGGGATGCAGGAAGGATGTAGTCTAGCATCCCCCAAAGCGTGAGGCCGGCCAGCCAGCCAGCGGTGCTCTAATTAATGCTTAGCTTCTGGCCCCTGGAATGAATCCCCAATAGCTGGGCTTTAAAAATAACAACATGCTGAAAAGGAAATGCAAAGAGGGAAGGATGACAAACGTTGGGGAAATCATTTGTCAGTGCTGGGTGGGCTCGAGAGGAATTGTTTTTTGGGGGGTACACCAGGCCCTAGCATTGATGCATTTTAGGCATTTAAAAAAAAACAAAAAAACTCCTCTTTGTCTGTAGGTCTCCCCTTGATACTTATATATTAATGGCAGTGGTGAAATCCAATTTTTTTTACTACCGGTTCTGTGAGCTTGGCTTGGTGAGCGTGATGTGGCTTGGTGGGCGTGGCTTGGTGGGCGTGGCAGGGAAAGGATACTGCAAAATACCCATTCCCACCCCACTCCAGGGGAAGGATAATGCAAAACCTCCATTCCCTCCCCACTCTGGGGCCAGCCAGAGGTGGTATTTGCCGGTTCTCCGAACTGCTCAAAATTTCCGCTACCGGTTCTCCAGAATCTGTCAGAACCTGCTGGATTTCACCCCTGATTAATGGGCTGGCTTAATTCTATTTTTTACTGGTTCTTCGTGGTCTTAGCTCAGTTTTTGTGCTGGAGAGATGTTATGAAGAAAGCGCTTTGGGATTTTGGATCAGGAAAAACAGGAGAGAAATGCAGTTAATTGATGAATGAACAACTCCTGGTAACCATAACCTATTGAGTTCACAATGCTGCCTTGTTCTGAGTAAGGAGATATATTGGGTTCAGCTTGCCGAAGATTGCCTCTGTGCACCCTTTCCCGAAATGCAGGGATTAAAATATCCAGCCAAAATACCAGGAAAGAGAGAGAGAGAGAGAGTGCATCCTGTTAACAGCCCTACTTCT